ATATTCACTGTTGTATAATCCTTTGTAATAAAGGCTGTAGGAGGCAGTCACTCTGGGGCCAGGGTTTGGGCGGCATGTCGTGCACAAGGAAGGGTGTAAATGTTACAAAGAGAGACAGCTCCACTGGTGCTCTGAGCAAACTCTGATTCATGAGGAGAATATTTGTGTGGGCCTTTCTGCCGCCGTTACTGTTATCTTGAGCTTGTGACTCTCACTTTTAAACAGAGGGAGGGGAATTACTGAGATTATTGCATGTTTACTTTCTGTCCTACGATGACTTCATATGAGAGGATATAAAACAAGATAACGTGCACTTCACCTTAATGAGATATGTGCCTGAAAAGGAGGCGCATAAAAGAAGTAAATGCCACTTATCTTAAAGGTATCCGATCCTGGGAGTATAAGTGGTGGCTAAGTACTCATATTTTTTTCAAATTCAGATAAGGTCACATTACTTGAAAGTAAACCATCTACTGTGAATGTACATTCAAAACATGACAAATGCCCACTCAAAATTGGAGCCTGACTTACCTCACACACTGACACACACAAGTGGAAACAGTGACCTATATAGGGCGGAAAGGCCAGGGTCCAATTTGGACATACACACACACACACACACACACACACACACACACACACACACACACACACACACACTCACACACACACACACACACTCCCAGGGCTGTCGACTCTCCCGCCTAAAAGTGTCCTATCCATGCTGTGTTGTNGGGGGGGGGGGGGGGGGGGGGGGTTAGGGTAACAGGGTGCCTGCCAGATGACTGCTCTGTCAGCCCAATAATGGGCTGCCATCTGCTGTCTAGCATACACAAAGGCAAACAGTGCGCGTGTGTGAGAGTTTGTGTGCTTGCTTTCGGGCGTGTGCTCCAGAGAGGAAGGCATGGGAGGTTTGGTCGGTCGCCTGCAGGCTCTGTTTCATGTCTTCAGTGTGCTAGGTAGACATGAAACTGAACACACACACCTTACTGAGTCCATGAACAACTGACTCATGGAGCTTGAGGATGTATAAATGGTACCAGACCTGTTGTGGATGCCAAAAATGGGTGGTGCAGACTATGGCGTGTCAAGTTTTACAGCATATTCAAATAAAAAGATGGACAATATAATTCAGTTTTGCGTTCTGCATGCCACAGGTATCTATGTGTCTACATGTCAGTAAGTCACTTTACTCTCAAACGCGCTCCCTTTAAACACATGCACGAAGCATAAGGTGGAGGGGCTGCTGCCAATAACCAATTAAGTGCCAAAAGGTCGCTGACATCTTTCAACTCAAGTGCGGGTCACCCAAGAACAAAAGACCCTCTTGTACAAGAACAAGAGCGAAGGGAGGACAGATTGATTAAGTGGACATGGCGTGCATGCGGCGCCCGTGTGTTTATGCGCACATTGTTTGTATGCATGTGCACCACTGCTGCTCCTTCAGCATAAGGCAAGTCGTCACGTCCTTTGCCTCCCTCCGTTTTGGGGGGCAATTGAGTGAATGGGCCTGTAAAACCAACAGCCCAGAGGACAAAGGAGCCCGGGGGCATTAAGTCATGGGTGAGTGGGCCCCTTTAGGGCCAGCAGCTGACCCTGTGGAGAGGCCTCTTGTTCTGATGGAGGGGGCTCGTGTCCCTGGACCCCAGGCCAAGTTGACAGCATCCCAACATATACATACACACATGACAGGGGGGGTTCAGCTTAAACCACTCTATCAGTTGTCAGTCCCACACCCAAGCTATCCACCTGCATGGCTGTCAGCTCCACCTATGGACAAGTGACAGGATTAAGGTGGAAGATTTGGATTTCCAGTGCCTTCAAAAAAAATTAAAGGAATCTGTTTTTGGCAAGAGCTCAAGAGATTGCTACACCTGCTGTGAGCATGTCAGATAAACCAAAGGATCATAAGAAATCTTTATTATGTGGGAAATAGCATGTAACCTGTTCTAATTTGTACAGGGGCAGTTGGCAGAGAAGGTGAGCTCGGCTTGGTTTCAAAACAGAGTTCAAAACGCTGTAGATGTCATGCAACATATGCATTTATTTTTCCAAATTAAGTACATGGTTACAAAGACAGTTGGCAGGATTTCTATGGTACCTTGGTTATGATTTCAGCTGAAAATGCTACAAAAAAAAAACAAAACAAAACAACACAGAGCGTGTGTTACACCTGTGATTCACCTCGTCAGTTAAAGCAAAGTCCAGCATCCTGTGTATTGCTCATGCATAACTACAGTAGTATATAACAGCTGCTACTATCCTGTATATATGTACTTAATTCCCTCAAAACCTATGATGTTACATGGCCAAATGTTGTTAACGTACAAACATGTTAACAAATGGAATGTACAAACACAAGTCAAACCAACAAACAGAACAAACGACACAATTATATACAGATCAGACACATCGCAGCCACCAGAATCAAACGTCTCACGTGGATGTTTGTCTACTTTCTGTTTTAGAGTTGCGCACTCCTGATCTTTCCACTTGATCTCCCTGACAAGATTCCCTTCTTATTCTCACTCAAATGCTTAATGCAGGATAATCCAGATTATAACTAATACTGGACCCACTAATGCCAATAATACAAAGAAGACCATTTATAGCTGTAGTGTCCCTTCGGCAGATTACGTTTCAGAAGGGTTAAAAATGACATGAATCAGCTGGAAGCACAGTGCAGTACATTTCTTCAGAGTCACACCCAAATCTGTGCATATTTACATTTTGTTCTTACGCAGTGTCAAATAATGAGCGAGCAGGTAAAGGTTTAGGGTCTTGCTCGAGGTCGTTTCAGCAGGATATCTGAGTTATAGGACGGTCTGTGTTAGCTGTGTTGTCGCTCAAAGCCATCTGTCTATAAAAATGTTAAGGTAAGGCTTCGATGTAGTGTGTTTAAACACGCATTTCTGCAGCAGAACAGGAGAAGAGAACATGTTAAAATCAAGCAGCAGGATCATAATGTCAGCATTCGTTACAAAACGGGGAGACAACCGTCTAACATGCAAACACACACCATAAAACAAAAATAAGGACAAGAGCTACATCATTAGAATGAACAAACATTTAAAATTAAATGACGAGTAAAAAGTGCAATTTGTCTATGATTAGAGGTCGGAGATGGAGTCCTGCTACCTAAGAGCGGAGAACACATTTGAATCAAAGAAAGAAAATGTCCTATCTATATGTTACAAGATCACAGATACGACTACACGATGATTATTTGCTAGATCATGCCTGATCAGGAAGAGAAATTAAAATTAGTGGCAGTGCACGTTCTTCTAACTTGGAGTAATGAAACTGTATCCCAATCCTGATTTTGAAAGAGAAAAGACAATAAAATTCTTCAATAATTTCTCTTAAATGTCTTTCTTTTTTTTTTTTTAGAAATAAATAAATTAGTAGACATTAAATAAATAAAACCTACAGCCTTCACAATAACAAGTAAATCCTTCTCGGCCAAATGCTTGTTGTAGAACACTGATGATATGAAAACTGCTCACTATCAAAGCAATGGTGACCATTCATTTTCTGTTACAAAGAGAACTGTTTTGAGAGCAGGTGAGGGTTTTTAGGCTGTTTTGTCAGCAAAGTTAAACTTCTTAAAAAAAAAAATCGAAAAAAAAAAAAAACCTCACGGTGTCCGATTTATATTAATATCTAAGCTTTAGAGCTGTCAGATAATAAATAAAACAAACAGAAATAAACATTAAGGTACCCTTCCATTATTGAGGTTCTTACACATGTACATTGCAATGAAATACATTCAACCGATGTCTCGATGGACACTATGGCCTTGGAAAGGAAACGAGTTGTTAAACAAAGATACCATCACAAGTGCTATCCAGTTTGCCCTTAAACACACTGCTCCTTTCTCAGCAGTGAAATCAACTCAGTAGTGCAATACTGACAGTTTCTTACTAACATCCTCAAAAAAAGTTCACATCACCATGGATAGGCATTCAGCAATGTAATGCTGCCGTCATAAAAAACCACGTAACTGCACTTCTGTTTCTGTAATGTCAAAGCAATGGTTATTCTGGACTGTGTGTGTCTAGGTAACCCTCTGAGACCCGTGTTGGCGCTCCCTGTCTTTAGAGGCTGTAGTGGTACCAAGCATGTCGTGGTAACTTGTCAGGAAGGAGGCTAAAAATAACACTCCAATGTTAGGCTAAATTTTGGCAAGGACGACAATGGGTTTTATGGACACCGACAAGTCTCCCATGTAAAGACACGCCCACTTTATGTGGGCCAGGGGGGTTCCTGGTTCGGACACAGGGTGGGGGGTTCGAACTCTAGGGTGTGGGAGCCCCTCTAGGCGGAGTTTGCATGTTCTCCCTGTGTCAGTGTGGGTTATCTCTGAGTGCTCCGGCTTCCTCCCACAGTCCAAAGACATGCAGGTTAATTGGTGACTCTAAATTACCCATAAGTGTGAATGGTTGTCTGTCTCTATGTGTCAGCCCTGTGATAGTCTGGTGACCTGTCCAGGGTGTACCCCGCCTCTCGCCCAGTGTCAGCTGCGATAGGCTCCAGCCCCCCGCGACCCTCAAGAGGATAAGCTGTTATGGAAACTGAATGAATAAATAAATGTGTAATATTCGCTGATAGTGTTTGAAAATTCCGCATAATAGGTCCCTTCAGTCTCGGAATTGCATAAATTGGGTAAGTTTTGAAGACGTTATCGATGATGGGAGTGGACATCATATACTTCCATTATAATGTTTTAAGCCCTTATACAATCTAATCTTTCAAATTTGGAATAGGCGCCTAACCAAACACAAGTTCATAACAGATTTATTACTAGTAAAACTGGACACACAGTGCTAAGCTGCATCTCAAATAATCTTAAGGATCTCTGCTTTCAGATGATGTGTACTACTTCTTCTTCTTTTTTTTTAAGATATTTTTTGGGGCATTTTTAAGCCTTTAATCGATAGGACAGATTAGCGTGAAGGGGGAGAAAGAGAGGGAGAGACATGCAGCAAAGGACCACAGGCTGGAGTCGAACCCGTGCCGCTGCAGCAACAGCCTTGCACATGGGGCGCCTGCTCTACCACTAAGCCACCGATGCCCCAATGTGTACTACTTCTATGTGGCATTCACTACTGACCTGCAAACTCCCCCTAAAACTCACCTGTCTCCTCTAAACAAGACAAAAAAGGGTCTATGGTGGGTCTCAGAGAGTTAAAAACCCATGGTGTGATTTTAAAAATACAATGGTGTCAATACAAAGCTGTGAATTTTTGCATGTACGTGGTTTTTTATCTGACAACAGCGACGGGGCAGTTTAGCAAAACAAGTTGGAGGAGATACACAATGAGTAGCGTTACATTATAAAACGTCTTTCTTGTCATTTAAACAATATATTAACAATATAAAACTCAGAAGCAGCCACTGCTATTAATAAACACTCTATGTCTATAGCCTACTGTATGTGTAGGTTGTTTTCAACATTACTGACTAGTGCAGGAAAAACATTCTAGCCTTATCATATCTGTACAAAACTGCTTACGTTGCCAGGTTGTGTGTATTCAAAGGAAAACACATACCTATAAACAAGAAACTACTTGGGCAGTGACCTTGAAATGTGTTTAAAAACCAGCAGCCATGCCTTTTTGTGGTCGTCCGTGGCAGTGCATTTCTGCTTCAAAAGAAAAACTAAAATTATTTGTCTTCACTGGATTGTCTCTTACTGGGTTCAGTGGAGGTTTTAGTTGTTGGACGGGGTGTAGTAGTGTTGCCTGCGCAGCAAGGGGACGGCTTTAAAGCACAAGGGCTCTTGAGTTAGAGCCAGAAGACGTGTAGGGGGTCAGGTACTGACGGGCCTGTTCTGTCATGATCAGCTGGTCCTCTGTCTTCCCATAAACCACTGCTTCCCAATCACTCACCTGCAGAGAAGGCATGTTACAATGACAGCTGTTCATATTAAACATGGCTTAAGTTTCACATAACGAGGTAAACATACGTAAAAGCAATCCATGTGAGCAAAAACCTCAGGCTTCAGATTGTTCCGAGTGCTGTTTCCATCGTTTTTTTTCTACATTTGAGACAAGCTAACGTCAGCTCGTGATGGACTTTTTCACTACTGCAAGTGTTTACTTTACAAACACTACACTAAACTGCTACATGAAGCTACATGCTCACATCAGGGAAACATTTAATCTTGGTTGCCGTCGTTAATTTCTCCCTAATTTGGGATCATATTTCTGACTGAACATGTCTGCTTGTTTTCAGAAGCTTTTATAGGTGATTTTTCAGGGAAAATGGTGCCGCTATACTCCATTAAAGTCATTCCCCTGCTGCAATGACGTTGCAGAAGACCCAGAAAAGCTGACCAATCAGAGCCAACTGGGCTTATTTGGGAGGAGAGCCGCCAAAATGGAGCGTTTCAGACAGAGTGAACATTAAAGCATGTAAACATGTTCTAGTAGAAAATCAAAACACAAGTATGAACCTGAAAATGAGCAAACTAGGTCCCCTTTAATGACTTACGTACCTGTACAACAGCATGTTTTGGTGCTTTGTGGGAGGAGACAAGCTTCTTCATCCGAGGGCTGGTAAAGCGATGAGGATGAACAGGGACTAGTGAGGTCTCCTCTCGCCCAGAAGTCAAAGAACGGCTACACTCTTCTTGCTCAGAGATTGAGGTGACCAATGAAGAGCCTGACAGTAAACTTTCATCTGGCACCTGCAAATAACAGATTTAATAAATGAAATAGCTACATAGAAGGAACTATACAAGTGATGATGATGCTGAATTTAAAGGGTGACTTTGGTCCTGTCCAACCTTGACCCAATTTTCCCATGTTTTTGTGTCTATGTGACTGATGGCCACAACAAGTACTGATCAAGACCACTGCAGCCAGCAGCCAGAAAAACAGGGTGCAATGTAACCATTCAGGGCATGTCCACTAAAAGTGCTTTTTTTCCTGCCACTTACAGGCTCAATCTGAGCCAGTACATTTACAGTTTGTATATAGAAACCAGTTTACCAGTACAATCACACCTCACTATTGTTAGACACTAAGAATGTTTTTAGGGCTATGTGCCCTTCTTCTTCACATATCCATGTTATCTACTGATTCTATCTATTTTTCTCATGTAGTTACAGAATCTGAAGCTGTTATCTTCAACCAGTATCGAGACTTACTTGTGCATTGTTGAGCTGCTCTTGAAAGAGTTGGACATTTAGGCAGTCTTTTCCCCAGGGGTCCAGCACAAGAGACTTGCGCACCTTTCTCGCTGGACCATCAATCTGAAATCAAAGGACCAAGATATAAATAACAGCAAATGCTCCACAGTTTTGACTCCACACTACGAGTGAGCTCAGTAAAAAGTATTTGTTTCTCCAAAATAACAGAGAGAAGGTAGTATAGTTCCATGATGGAAAACATGTGCATGCTACATGTACATTATGTTTCCACGCTCTGTAGTCTGGTTGGATGTCTGTTCTGTTAAAGATGTCGGCTCCAGTCTCCTGCTTCAGAACTTCTCGAATGTCCTCTTCCAGAAATGCCAACGGCTGTGGCTGAAAAACAAAAACATACACATGATTATTATCACAAGCTCATGCAGCCATATGTAGCATAAAATAATAAAAAGGTTATCACAATAAAGGTAAATAAAAAATGCACACAGTCACATTTGACCTCTCACCTCCATCTTCAGTGGCCCATGCATTTTCTCCTGGGCAGCCAAAGCGTTCTTGAAGGGAGTCGGCGTTCGCGGGGTTGGAATCATGACAGTTTTACGGATTTTGGGGGTCTGCAAACTAGAGAGGTGACAGAAAATATTCAACACTGGGCACAAAATTCCCACAATGCATAGCAATCTACAGGCTTTTTTACCAGTTGTGTGGGATGTGTTTTAATATATTTACCCATCATTCTCTTTCTGGTGCTTAGGTGTGGTTTCTTTGTGGAGCGGTGTGTTGAGGAGACATCTCTGGCCACACACAGGGGTTGAGGTGAGGGCGGGATTTTCCAGATTCAGATGCTCCGAACCTGATATGTTGCAGAACTGGAGAACACACAGACACGGCATATTAGCCACATGACTAATGTGACCTCAGTATAACAACTCTACAAGGAAGTAGTCAGCAGAGGTGTGGTTTAGGGTGTGTAGAGAAAGAAAACATTTACTCGTGACGGTGAGAATGGCAGTGACTTTGTGGGCGTTTTCTTGGGAGAATTTGAGATATTCTCCAAGAAAGAGGAGCAGGTCCTGTCACATGAAGGAGACGGTTCCCCCCTCTCTCTTCTCCTCCTTCTCCCAATGGATGACTGAGTGGGTTTGGATGAGTTGATAGGAGTCAGGGAGGTGACGCCGCTCAGACTAAATGGAGCACAGCTCTTATCACGACCAGAAATGGCGTTCGGAGTGTTTACTGTGTAGCCCATTGAACTGTCAATCGTCCGCTCTTGCAGGAGAGTGGTGTACCCTGCCTGGTTGTGCCTGGGTGGTGTCGCTGACTCTGACAAGTCGAAACTGGCCACGTCACTCCACGCCACAGGGTCCTGCAGAGCAAAACACATCTACAGAAGATCTTTAATACATTCATGACTTTTGTTTAAAATATTCATACAGGGATATATTTGCTCTCCGCTCTGCTCCTTCTGTTACTCACTGAGTCAATGAGCTCCATAGTTTCTGCAAACTCCGGTATGGTCTGCAGGGTCGAGAGCACAGTGCTGGCCTCTACGGCCAGGAACTTGCTGGGCGAGACAGGAAGCTGTGGTGGAGGTCCTTGGGGGATCTCAGGGCTCCTCCAGGGCCTTCTCTCCGCCTGCTCCTCAAGGCTGCTATTACTTCTAGTCATCGTGTCATCTGACACACTGTCGGACCAGGATGAGTACTGCTCTGCACTCTGAGGGGGCAGGATGAGAGAATAAGGGTGTTAGAACTCTGACTCCAGCAGCAAAGTGATGTCTGATTAAAGCTGGAGTTGATAACTTTTATGAAAATAACTTTGTGTCATATTCGCTGAGAGTGTCACTGTATTCTGAACGAGGTACTGTACATGAGGCAGATGATCTGTGAAAAAATCATGCCCCTCCTCCTCTTCCTACTACTTGTACTAGCATTTGCTAGAATCTACCGCAGCACATGGACAACTACCTATCAGAGCTGAGGAATCTCTCAAACAGCTGTCAATCCTCTCAATCACTGTTTGTACGCCACTAAACTCTAAAACTAGACAGCGCTGATAAAATATAAATCAAGTTTTGTGACTGCATTGCAAATTTCTCACCTCAAATGTTTTCAGAAACATATTTTAGTGTACTGTTTAGCTGTAAAATGAGAGAGTTGTGACAAAGCACTAAGCACCGCCACAAGACAGTCAAGTAGGCAGGAGTATGATTTTTTTTCACACATTATCTGTCTCATTCTCTGCGTGAATACACCGACAGTTTCAGCAAATATTAATAAAAACGTTATTTTGTATAAAAGTTATCAACTATAGCTTTAAATGGTGTGATCTGTAGATGTTAAATAATATTACTCTAAATTTGGATCAGTTTTAAAATTATCTGGGACTAAGAAAGTGTGGGGAACACAGGTGATATTACAACATATCAATCTTGACCAGTCAATCATTCAGTATGAAGTCACTGACTGTGAAGACAAATGGCATGAATGAGTGAAGAAGAGTGAATTAAATGTGAAAACAGTGTCAGGAGAAACAGAATAGGAACAGGAGAGACAGAGGAGAGTGCTTGGTTCAAACTGCTGGCTGAGCGTGGGCATGGGGGTGAGGACTTGAGGGGATGACGGAGCAGGTTTGGAACGATGGTAATGGGGGTAGGTGGGGCGGCTACCAAGCACAGCTTCAGGCCAGTCTGAATGAGTAGCGAGATGGGGAAGGCAGTTACTATAGCAACACTACAGCAAATCAGGCTACAGCTAGCATACGTGAGTGCCAGTCATGTTTTCACATGTATACACTGCAAAAAGTCTATTTAGTCTCAAGTCTTAAAATCTTGATTTGAGAATTTTCTGTGAACCAGTGTTTAGTGCGAGGTGAAGAAAAAACACCTGATTCAAGAAAACTGATAATTTTATCTCTTAATCTCACTTTGATTTGATTTCAAGACTCAATGTTTGATTAGATAATATAAAATATTAAAAATGACTTTTTACAGTGTATGTTAGCTGCAAACACACGCAGGCTATGCTGACTAAGTATGCAAACACACGTTCGGAGTGTGTTCTTACACGTTGACCTCTGCACTGCACTTGTCGCTGGACTTCATTCTCTGCTGACATAAGCAGCAGCTCAAGCTCCTTAATTCTTTGCTCTCTGTCAGGATCATCCAGGCAGGATGGCTGAAATAAACAAACGTCAGGGAGGAGAGGTCGAGAAGGACAGGAGGAAAGGAAGAAGTTAAAAAATAAACAGACAAAAAACAGATTTACACACACAAAATATTTACAGGAGCATTTAAGATTTTGAATGTTAGGTGAAAATAACGGGACATTCAAGTGCTTGATTTGAAGTCCAGAGTTAGCAATCACAAAGGTAATTACAGAAAGTCCAGAAAATAAAGAGGGTGACAAGTTTTCCCACTGGCATGCAATGAAACACACAAAGACTCACCAACATGAAGCCTGAATTATCAGGAAGACCGTCCATCAGGTGTCCGCTGTGAGGATCATAAGGATATCCCCCCATCTAAAATACAAAGGACCACATTTAAATACAGACAACAAATAAAGTAAATCATAACACCATATAGAGTAGAGTGTTGAAGGGAACTGGACCTGGTTGGGTCCTGGTATAGGCAGGGGACTGTGGTCACAGTGCTGGGACTCTGTTGGAGTTTGAGGACACGGTCTGTGTTGGCGTCTCTTCGCTCCAGCATGAGAGGAAGTGAAACTCTTGCAGCCATCTTGCAGGTACCCCTCATGCTCCACCTTCCTCCTCATGGTAGAGTTCCAATGGTTCTTGATGGAGTTGTCCGTCCTAATGGGCAGAAAAATCAGTAGTATTTCAGCAAATTACACTATTGCATGACTCGGGCTAAATCCACACTAACACATTTTTTATTTAAACAGTGTAACTATTGCTACATTTATGCTGAGCATCCACATTACTCCAGTGTTTTGGAACCCCTAAAATGGCTGACCCCATTTTAGTTTTTTGATTATGGGGTTGAGTTTTCATCTGGACAGGTACAAAGGGAGACTTTTGAAAACACTGATGCACCCGCATTCACTTCCTAAATGGGGTTTATCAGTCACGAAGTGCCAAGCAAAGACATTATAGCTACGTCTGCATACCTTTTGTAATTTTATCCTTCTTGTGTGGGTATGTCAGTCTCATTGCCGTGGCTTCCTCTGGTGATAGATAATGCTGCCAGTACCACTCTGAAATGTTGCTGTATTTGCATTGCAACAACTGCAATTGCACCTTTTTGTTGGTCCAAACAAAGAATTATCTGGTCTTACTTTTTGTCATCTCCGTAGTATTTTCTATAACCAAGCAGTGAAGCAGAGTAGACAATCTACTTTCTGTTTATATCGGCACACACATGCCAAGTGTACATGAAGGTCATGTGATATGTGTTCCAGGTCAGTTTGAATTGATGGAGATAATCTGAAATTATGCTAAAGCGCTTGTGTGTACAGAGATCATTTTCATTTTAAAACGGCACTGCTGAATGAACACTTATTCATGTGCATGTAGCTAGTGCAATGTGTGCACAAGATTATATTTACCGTCCAGGAAGAAGCTTGGAGATCTCTGCCCAGCGGTTGCCAAGGCGCTTGTGGGCCTCATAGATGATTCGGTCCTCTTCCTGAGTCCATGAAGACTTCTTCACCTCTGGGTTGAGGTGGTTGTGCCACCGTTCGCGGCACTGCTTTCCAATCCTTCCCTGGAGGTGCTTGGCGATCACAGACCAACGCTTGGGGCCGTACTTGTGCACCAGGTCAATAACCTGCACAAATATCACCAGTGGAGAAACATTTATTGCACAGTTTTATTTCTAAATCAGAAACTTAAAATATATACACTGCTGCATATTGTGGTAGTTTTCTCTGCTTTTTTTAGGAAAGGATGGAGTAAGGCCTTAACTGGCTTCATTCAAACTACAAGCTTGTATAAAGAAGGAAATCACATCATTCTATTTTTCTCATTTAGAGCCAACAGCAGCGCCAGTGTTTACAGAGCTTTGACTGAAGCAGCAGCAGCAGCGCGGCTTGTTTGACTGTCTCCGTCAAGACTGAAAAATGCTGTGACGTCGCCATTGGCAACACAGACTGTTATTGATAGGTCTCGGTTTCTATGATGATGCCAAGATTTTAGAGGAATGAGACGCCATTCTTGACATTCTCAAAGAATCGTGATCCATTTAAGGAATGCATTGTTCATCTCAGGGCTGGCGAACATACTGCAGCTTCACTCTGTACAAAGAAGGCTTGGCTCTAGTGGCTTGGAAAGTCTGTGTTTTATTAGGGATGACGTAGTGGAGCATTTACTTTGCGAAAAAAAAAAAAAAAGGAAGCTAAGGCCAAGAGGGTTTTAGCGGGAAGTAAGCTTGCACATGTGCTCATTAGTTGGAAGGTAAAAAATGCATTGCTTATTGTAGCATTTGTGTTTGTATTGTGTTGCTCTGCTGCTCTCGACAGTCCCTGCAGCTTCTTTCTGTCTCCCCTATCATTTGCCTACTTTACCCTCTAGAACAGGAAACTCCCAGCTCCTCTTACCTTTTGATCCTCCTCTTTTGTCCAGGGTCCTTTCACCAGCTCTGGGTTGAGCACCTTCTGCCAGCGGTGCTGACATTGGCCATCTGTCCTCCCCTGTGACACAGCAGCACAAAGCACAACACCTCATTACACCACAGTTACACCAACTCCTGACAGCTGTATATAAATCTGCCTCTCCAGTCACTGCTCCTACCATGATGTTAATTATGAGATTACTAAATGGTTTGCATGGTCATTAAGTGTTAGAATGGAAAGAGATAGACCAATATGGCATAAAGCAGTAAGATACTACTGTTAATATTCAAACAGTTTTGCCTGCATCGTATTACACAATGCAGACATCACATTACATACTTACTGGAAAAAAGTTAGCGATTAGTTTCCAGGAGTCAGTTCCATGCTGCTCTACTAGTTTTTTCAGCTTTTCATCCTGAGAAGAAGAAAAAAAAAGACCTCCTGAGGAACTTCCAGCATCCACATTCACACACTGTCTACTTTAGGGTTCCCCTAAGATGTGTGAAGCACACACTTAAGGACGTTATTACTTGCAAGAAGATGAAATACAAATCTTATGCAGTACAAAGTCCCCATTTCACTCAAATAGTCTTCAACCCCCCAAAACCTTACTTGTGCCTCTGATAAACTTACCTCATCTCGGGACCACTTTACTTTACACAGGGTCTTTTTATCTTTGCTCTTCTCTTTGCTCTCTGGGTCTGTGGAGTGTAGCTCTTCATCCTCATCATTGCTAAAAAAAAATATGTAGGGATACAGAGAAAGGGAAGTAAAAGAAGAGAAGAAACTGTTAGTTGTGCCAAAACTTTTCTTTTATCTTATATTATCTTTACTGTAACTGTGCTTTTATGGCTGCGCAGACCTGTTCTCTCATCCAGTGCATTTCATTGTACCTTTGACCTTAACCTGCAGACTAATAAAGTAAAACTGAAACTAAAACTGAACTGAACTCTTTACAAGGTCAGTGTAAGCAAGAATACTAGGATGAGTATGGAACTGCATGGAAAGCGCTCAAGTGTGAGTTATACTGTATTTCTGCATCAGCTCTATGCAGAGTCTATGCCATACATGGCCTACGCCATGTCTGTGTCATTCTGCAGTTACACCTCCAAAACACTAGTCAGTGTCAGGGTTTCTATGAACTGCTGTAAAGTTTAGCTGATCCAAAACACACATTAAACACACATTAATCATGGCTTAATAGAGACAACTTCAAACACAAGTACACAAGTCAGCTTCACTAGAACTCAGCATTTACAGACATTACACTTGTCTTTATCTGGACACATTTTCCCCACAAATACAACATGCTAATGTTTGTAGCACAAGTCTATGGCATTTTACATTGTATAAATTAGCCTAGCAGCTAGCAGACTTTTTCACTACTCATATGAAGCCAGGGACAACAGCAACATTTAACAAAGGTAATGTAACACAATTTGGCTCCATTACAACTCACAAGATTCACCGACAAAACAACTGTCTTATACTAAACATGTTTTCCAAACAAATATAACATGCTAACATAATTAGCACAAGCCTATGGCATTTTACATTGTATAGATTAGCCCACATATAGCGGAGATTTCCTCCACTTATCTGAAGCCAGGATAAATCATCAATAATAATTAATAATAATGTTAGTATCTTAGTTCTATCAATACGTAATGTAGTCAAATGCTCAGTAAAGCTGTATCCAGATTAGTCATAAAATGTATGCTTATACAAATGCAAACATGTAGGCTAAAGCTCTCTGCTTGTTAAGGCTATTCTTTGCATATGCAAGTTCTCAAGGTAAAGGAGAGCAGTACAGAAAGGTGCAAGAAGAGCAAGTATTAGGCTCTGCTTTAAGTAGGCATTCACTTCTTCTTCTATTCAGCATTGACTCTGACATTGCACTGAAACTACGGTAAGTCAGTTATCATACAGAAATGGATAAGAGTAAATAATACAAATTTACTACAAAATGTAATAGTCTGCTTTCATAACAGACTATGTCGATTCAAATAAACAATACGGAAATGTAAACTAACAATCAGATAATTAAATAAATAAATAAAGTATAATTATGGATTGCATAGAAATGGGTTTGTCAGACTGGTGGGTCTCAATATGAGACATAACAACACTGTAAGAGCACAGCAGAGCTTTCACTTTAGAGATTTAGGGGATAACTGTTTTTAACAAACCTTGACAGAATATAAAGGAAAGAAAGAAACAACTTGTACTTGTACATGACTGCATACAAGAACACAAAATTCCTCTCTACTGACACAAGAAGTTGGCAGGTAGCACTGTACTTCTGTGTTCCCACAAAACCTGCTGCTGGGCAACACTTTCTTTGTGGCTGTGGAGAAGAATTTAATAAATGGAGGAGAAATTAAGTTATCTGTTATCGAGAGCTGTTACTGTAAAGCAGATCTTGCCAATCACGCAGGCCCTTAACCACACACAAAGGGGTCTTGTATCAGACTGTGTATGAAAGGTCATCTTCAGTGTGGAAATTTGAACATGGCAACTGAATTTTGGTGTGACCTGACTTCTTCATCAGAGCAAAGAGAAGTGGGGAAAGTGAGTCTGGAGCTTTAGCTAAGCAGGAAGGAGGGGAGTAAGTGGGCCGGACGAAAGGGGCGATCCCACATCAACAGGCTCTTTCACCTCCAGAGGTGTGTGAGTGTGTGTGTGTCATTGAGATGGAGGAGGCGGTGCGCTGGGGTGTGGTCAGGGGAATGGCAAAGTCCTAACGGTCCAGTTGTTCAAAAAGTTTTCAAAAAAACAGGCAGACTTATATAACCTCTTTGCACTTGGAGTAATAACAACGTAGTATTAAAATGTGCTTTAAAAGTTTTAAAAGGAACCATTTTAGTGTCACGTGAACGCCTCAGAGGCAGCAAAACAAACAGACACTGATGTACCAAACATTCATTGTCAGTTTGTTTACTTCATCAGTCATAAACAGTTCAAAGTATATTGTAAAATACAGGACATGCATTCCCCAGGTCAAACCCTGAGCTATTCTAATTGTGAGAGGAAAGAGCCACCCATCTTTCTCCAGATGTGAACACAAGGAGAGGTATGTGAAGGGGGCAGGGCACAAAAGTAGCACCATCCACTAGCCAAATGCTGGTAAAATATGTGGCTGGTAGATTTCTTTCTCTCACTAACCCCCCAAAAAAGTCTGCAGCCTGGATTGGGGTTAATTTAGATATTAAACAATTCAACTATTAGTTCAAGCACAATGCTATTTCCCACAGCTCCATGTCGCATCTTCAAATGGCTTGTTTTGTCCACCCAAACACCCAAAGATTTATTTACAGTCGGATAAAACTGGAAATAGTGACTGATCTTCACATCTGATAAACTGGAATCACTAAATTTTGCTTCATAAACGACTAAAATAACTCACGTGTTACATAAATTGTTGGCAATTCATATTATTTTGACAAAGTAATCAGTTAATTAACTTATAGTTCCTGCACAAATTGTGTTTTTTAACTAACACTTGATTGCAAATACCCTTTTTATTGTGCACCTGGCTGTTGTTAGATGTAAATAGTGAATGTGCTGCGGCCTTGGTGGTCATACAGTTTAATAAGCCAGTATAACTTATCAAGTCTAACCACAAACCACAACATCTGCTTGTTTTCTCAGGTACTTTTCCTACTGAGGTTTGTGAAAAACAAAGAAGAGCTTTGGGGCTTGGCATTAACAAGATGTTCCAAGAAGACCAGAATGATAAAAATCGGAATAGAAAAACACAGGAAACATTTGATCTGATCCAGATTTTTGTGTGTTAGTTTGTCTTTGATTAAGAGACTATATCTTACCAGGTAAAACGTTTATTTATTGACAACTAATTTGACTGCTTTGTTAAGTAATGTTTACAGGGATGCTGCTATTACATAACTGCTGTTTGACAATAGGCTGCAATGAGCTGATAATGAGCTCCCATGCGTGGCAATAATATCATGCAAAGTATACTGTATTATTCCAACAATAGTAATACTTGCAAGGTATACATTTGGATGTATATTGTTGTTTGTATTTTACACTATCCATACCTGTGTTCAGGCTAGTTTGAGATGTTATTAACCATTAAATATAATATATCTATTAACTAACTGGTGCATTTCATGAACTAACATTACCATTCTTGTATGTTGACCTCGTTACAGTCTGACTCTGCAGGTGCACATGCTCTGCTGTCAAAGATGAGACCTGCAGCTCCTTTTATAAGCACACTGATAGTAAAACCTATCTAAGGTTATCTTGTGTTGCATAGAGGCACCGGTGGCTGTGGCAAACAGATAGCAAAGTGCTTATTGCTGGCACTCACCTGCGTGGTTTCACGTTGTCCATGACAGTCGATAGGATGATTGAAGCTTTTCAGAGACGAACCTGTGGTTTGGCAGCTGTCTAAAATCCCACATTAATAGATGTTTATCCATAGAAATCGCTGTAAGTCATCGCTGGCTTCCTCTGATACACAGCAGCATCTAGCTAGCAGCATTCGGCTAGCCGGTTAGCTAACTTAGTGTACAGTCCATAACGTTACGCTTAGTTTGGGAAAGCTGTACTAACTGTCGATAACATCTTTCTAAAGAAAAGCGTCACTATCTCTTCTGTTACTTGTTTCCGAAACGTCAATATCGCAACACAAAAACTCGATATAAAGTATAAAAGACTAACACAGTTCTCTCATTACCCGCTGTCTGGGCTGTTTCTATCTTACTTGTCTGTACTTCTATTTGGCGTTATGATTTTTGTCCATCCCGCCGATTCTCGCGCCCAGCCCTCTGCGCAGGCGGCCTCGCTTCTGATTGGTCAGGAATGGGGCTGTGAAAAGAGGAGTCGGTACTCGAAACTGATTGGGCAGAAAATGAGGAGAGGCTCGCCTGTGATTGGTCGGAAGTGGGAGGTGGGTTAGTTTGATTGGTTGAAAACGTGAGAAGGCGGGCGTTAAGTTAGACAACTGTACTGTCACCTTCTGCACTGATGCAGCAGAATGGGTCTTTTCATTAAGGCGGTGGTGGCTCAAAGTTGGGTGCGGGGACTTTCGGGGGCCCTTTCAGGGGGTTTCAGGGGGTTCCCAGCACCACAAGTTCACTGGAGGCAAGCATGATAATCCATTCTCCGATTTTGTCCATGTAATCTGCAGTGCTGAGATGATATTTTGTGTTAATATTTAGGAACACATATTCATACAAGCAGATATTTCTACTGAACATATTTTTTTTAGATCAAATAATCCACATATAAATTTGAGTGCACTGTGCATTTGAACTGACATCATTGTGGTTCCTTGCAAGGGACAGACATTATTATGATGATTCACACAGTAATTGCATCATATTTAATGAGGTTAAGACGTTTGGTATGAGATTCATACCGATGTTACAGATAATATGTAGACTACAACATTCAAACTGACACAGATAACACAATATATCCTTTCGTTTTGACAGGCAGCTCCCGCATATCCATAGTGCACTCTGCAGCTCCTTTAAATTGTGTTTTGCTGACACCTTGTGGACAAACCTTTGGCATCTGCACTGCTTATTGGTTTCATGCATATAAAGCCAAAATGACAGTAGTAGTACAACTGGAAATGTCTTCTATTTATATGTTACATAATGTTTATATTTCTTTTAATTTGTCACAGCATCTCTGGTTTTTATTCGCCTCCATTTTTTTTAGGTCCATGCAGGTAGGTCGACTCGGGACATAACCTTTTTTTATGGGATAAGTGGTGCAATGCGTCTGTGTGGATTTTGACAAGGTATAATACCAAACATAGCTATAGCCTCTAGATAGGACAGGAAGTTAAAACCGTTTCTTTTTTGGTCACAATCATGACGCACCTCATAATTTTGATAGCTTATATTATCTCAAATTTGTCACGTTATTAATTCCTAATTACTTTATATCTTATAATCACTGTGTCACAATTTTGACATAGCCTTGTTTATAAAAGGCTATATATACATATATCATTCCTACTTCTTAATCTATTAATATATTTTTCTGTCGGTAAAATCAGGATGCGGATGATTTTTTGGGGATATTAGGCATGTTCTGCTTTTCCACCAGTAGGAGACGCTGTTTAACTGTTTGACTTCCCAGTGTTGCCATTCCTGAGTGCAGGAGTGGCTGTGTTAAGCCAACCTAAACAACACCGGAAATAATTTACTATGCCTCGAAAAATAAAAGCATTAATTTTGTCAATTAACAAGTAGGCCTACAATAAGTGTAATCACAAAAAACATCATATAACATTGTAATATTAGTATACGAAGTATCAAAAGCCTTTTAGAACTGCTTGTATTTTCTGTAGTCCTCCTTATATAAATACTTTAAACTACAAAACAAAACTAATTCAGTTTGTTAAGACTTCCACTGTGTTTAACTTACTCCTTAGGTTAGATCCTCTGACTGTCATGTACAGAGCAGATGGAAATATAATTGGCAGGGCAGGATTAAAAGCCACAGGTTTGTGGTGAGTATGGCTTTTGGAAATTTGATCAGCAGTACATTTGCTAACTCTGACCTATAGTCTGTGCACCACCAACTGCAATATCACCTAAAATTAATGTAGACAAGTCCCTTTATACAGGTTCTACATTATTACCTTATCCTGAGGTCCAGATGGCTGTTGTCGTCTTTTAGTATATTATTTATTCAAGGCCACACAGTGCATGTTCCTATATAAATCACTTTAACTGGTATACTTTGAAATGATAAGGTACATAACTACACACTGCACAGAGAGAAGTGTTGAAGTGGGTTGATCCAGCCATGATTAAATATATAAGTACAAGTAAAAAGTAATAATATTACAATATAAAAGGCACAGGTTTTGCATACTAAAGTGCAAAAGTATTAACATCAATATATAGCCTACTTGATGTACCAAAAGCAAAAGTACTCATTATGCAGAATGGCCCATTTCAGAAGTATAAAGTGGCATAAAATGAAAATACTGAAGTAAGGTACATCAAAATTATACTTGTGTACAGTATCTGAGTAAATGTACTCAGTTACTTTTAACCACTGTATCACATTATTGGGTTAATTATATTGTTGCACTGATATTGATGCGTAATTAGAATATACTTTTGGTGCTGATTGTAATGAAGCCAATGCATCATCATACATAACATGGTTTTAGGCTGGTAACTTATTGTAAAAAAGGCTATATTGTTTAATTTTCTCTTAAATGTAATGGAGTAGAGGTAGGTTGTAAAGAAGTGTGACATGTAAATACTCACACACTGAAGCACAAATACTTCAATATTGTACTTCATAGGCTACTTGTAAATGTGCAAGCAACATTCCAGCACTTAACTACTTTGTGTTTTATCTTGTTATATAAAAAGTTTTATTAATTATTTATTTACTTACAGTTTTATTTTTAATTTAAAACAAGAAAAATATACAGCGCAAGTAAGGGAATAGATGTACAAAGACATAAGTTATAATTCAGCAGCAATGGAGGAAATGATGCGACAATACAATCAAATACAAAAAAAGAACAATAGAGGTGACATTATTTTGAAAATCGAGATTTTTTTTTAAAGAAAAAGGCAACAAAAACAAAAAATGAGAAACAAGCAAGTAAACAAATCAGGAGCACAAAAGGACAAGGTAAGATACATTAAAAGAGCAAGATACTAGATAAAGATACAAATAAAGATGAAGATATACATATATAGACAGGATATAGATATACGCTTTACTTTCGCTTATTCAATTTTTCCATATATTGTAGCAGCTTGACGATGGGAAAGTTATGAACACAGTGAAGGAGGGATCCTTTCCATATACAAGTGTGAATGTGATATTTACCCAGAATAATCACAAGATTAATAGTATCTGAAATAACTGTATCCAGTTTGTCCATAAAATAAAATATATCAATGTTACTGAATGATGACACCTGACAGCTAGCTGTGAATATCAGTCCAAAACAAATTCACGAACATAATGATATTAATAATAACATGGACAATAATATGGACATAAAAAATAATAAAATTAAATAAAATAGAATAAAACAAATAAAATATAATAAATGTTCATGTTACGTCAAAGTTATCTGCTTATATTTTGAAATGCCATACCGGAAGTGCACCGGTGTATTGTGTCCGGCCTGACGGTTGTTGCAGTTGTGAAGTCCCGTGACAAAATTTCATTGGAACTTTCTACAGCCAGGAAAGACTGATGTTTCCTGCTTCTCTCACTTACTTGACAGTACGCTTATGGACAGCAAGAAAATACACGCTCAGTTTGAGACTTTAGGGGCTTTTGTGTGGACCAAAACTGGAAAATGTTGACTGTGGTGACGGTTTGAATGCTGTAGAGCGAAGTATCCTCACTGGACCAGCGAAAATAGATGAACGCCGCATCAGAACACTGTACGGTACGTGATGTCCATGTAAAAGGTACCTTGTTCTCGTTTGGCTAACGTAGTGTTGGCTAGCCGTTGGGTTACATATACCTAGCACACGACGCTTTAGTAATAAGTAAGTAACAAAACGTTAGTTTTAAATAAAAATAAAAGGGCTAACCGTTATATATAGCTTAACATAACCTTTTCTACTCGAAGACATCACTAAACAGTGGAAGCAAAGTACTATAAACAAAGTTAGGTTAGCTTCTTTGCTGTGTAGCATTAACAAGGAACTTAGCACATGTGTAACTGTGAGCTTTTGCCGCATTGTTTGAGCTGCATGTGGGGGCTTGTTTCAGCATGTCAGTCCTCTCATTTGGTGTGGGAATGTGCGTGTTGGTATTTTATTTGTGTTTATGTGTTCAGCTCCTCCCTCCCCCGGCTCATTTTATTCTCCTCTCCTCGGCTGGAGAAGGTATTTATGCTCCTTTCCTGTAACACACGTGATCTGTGCTGAGATTTTTTTTTTTAAAAAAAGTTGTACCGGTGTAAGTACACAAATAGCCTTAGGTGTTAGCTCAGCCAAATTTAAACTGAACAAGGCGAGGTCTTTTCAATGATGTGTGCCAGGGACGTGTTATCCTCCCAAATATAATTGTTCTCTGCCTGCAGAAATGATGTGTCAGACCTCATAGGCTGTCATAATTAGTCCCCAAAATGGATATTGATTCAGCTGTGTGGTATGAACTGAGGCAGACAACCATTTTTAAGCCTGATGATGTGTATATGAATGTTTTTCCTCCTGTGATGCAACATAAAACTTAGGTAACAAGTGTGTAGTGACAAGAAGGATGCATGTCTTGATAATCCTCCCTCCTCTAACACAAGAACAATGAAATTAAAACAGTCATAAATAGGAGAATGTAAGGACAATTGATTAATATTTCAACTCCGTAACGTAGAAATCTGCTAGCTTTCTGCTTGTTATGATTTGAGGAGGTTCCCAGCTGTTTCTTTGATGTAACATGTGGCTATCTATAACATGTTTTGTATAACATGACACATTTCAAGATATGAACGATGGATTTTACTATGTGAGATCTCTACATCTGTGAGAACTGTGATTTGGGAGTTCAAATCTCACAGGTATACCTGATTTGCCATAAGTTGTTGAGGCCTGCCCAGCAAGAGCATCCCGCATTCTTTGATGTCTAATTTTCTAAGGCTGATGAGCTTGTCGTTTTGTCAGCGCACATGCTGATTCAGACCTGTTTCTAAAAGGAAGTCAGCACCACAATTTGCAGACTGTGGCTTTCTGTGAGCTGTCTGGA